CCCCAGCCTCTTGGAGTTTAGGGGGAAGGGGGACCCCATGTTTCTCAGCCCCTTCTGTGTGTGGGCTCCACACAGCAGCCCTGGAAGGTGGGCATGGAGAGGCAGGGTGGCTTTCCCTGCTCTGTTGATGAACTTGGCACGGCCACCCATGAGGTGCAGGCAGACCCTGGGACACAGAGGGTGGACATGGGGGCCCAAGGCGCTTCCTGGCACTGGGTGAGAAGAGGGGAGGAGGAGAAAGGACGGGTGATGCGGGACACCTGCCTCCCTGAGTCAGGGCGATGGGCGTGCCGGCACCTGGGCCTCTGCCTGTCACTGCCCTGGGGCTGGAGTGACTCTTAAGTCCCTAAGTGACCCCTCCTTGGAGCCCCAGGACATGGTCTCACCCTCATCACCTGGCCTGGGATTTTGTGGGTGCTTGTCCTGCTCTCACCCCACCCTAACTGAACGGGAGTAGCCCATGGCATCTGCAGGTGTCCCAAGGCCAGACCCAGGGTCTTGGGCCCCTCAGGCGCTGTTCCCAGCCTCTACACATGTCGGCTCATTTCGTCCTCATTGTAACAAAGCGATGGCATTGCCTCCATTTTATACATTTTATAACTGAAGCACCGACCCCAAGGTCACATTCTAGAACCAGGTAGAGCAACCTTTGGGCCTCAAGGCTCTGATTCACCAGTAAGCTGAGCTGCCTTTCTCGGGCCTGAGTTTCGGGGGTGGCTGGGGGGTCCTGTCCCCTGCCTGAAGTCCCTCCCTCCCCGTGGCTCTGTCTCCCAGCAGGCGCATGTTGGCCTCTGGTGGCCCCTGGGGCGGGGTGCCAACAGGACTGTCCTCAGTCAACACAAACTGAGTGGGGCCCAGACTCTGGTTTCCCGTCACCTCCCTTGCAGATGCCGGGCCCTTCTCTCCGGTGACAGCCCTGGGTGGGAAATGATCACAACCATTTTACAGAGAAAGAACGAGGCTCAGAGGGCGGCAGGGCCTGACCAGAGACACGAAACCGACGGGTGGTTAAGCTGGGGCTCGGACCCCTGCACGGCAGCTTCTAGGGCCTCCCGCGCCCGCTGAGACAGCTCCAAGGAGTTCCTGTTTTTGTGTTTTAATAAGGAGGTAGTTCACGTTCATGGTTAAAAAAACACGACAGCCATGTGAGATGGATGGAGAGCACAGCCCCTCCAGCCCTCCCAGGGTGGCCAGCAGGGGCTGCCCTGGTGCCTTGCTGACCACTCTCAGTGGCTTGGCACCCTCGGGCCTAAGCGCTGGCCCTTCCCGGACGTGGATGTGGAGCAGGAGGCTGACCTGGCGCTGTTTAAAATCTCCGACCCCCTGGTGCTCCCAGCCTGGGCCACCTTCTGTTTTCTCCTAGCGCCTCCCACCTTCCAGCAGGCCCCACAGTTTTCTTAGGACGATGTGCAGGTGGCTCTGAGGGCAGGGGACTCGTCGTCTGCCAGGTCTCTGCATGTGCCTGGCGCCCAGCACCACGCCTGGTGCCTGGCAGTGTCTGCCACCAGCTATAGGCACCCCCTGCTGGATGTCAGCCCTCTGCACAAGGCGGTGTGGCCTAGGGGTGGGAGGGATGGGCTTGCCACCCCAGATCCTGTTTGGCCAGTAGTGTTTATCTCATCTGGCAGAGGGGAGTGGGTGGTCCCGGCGCCGCCAAGGAGGTGAACCCGGCCTGCGGGCTCTTTGGTGTGTCCTGATGATCACCCGAGCACCGGTGGACACGCCAGGCTGCCAGAGCCAAGGCTTGGCGCCTGCTTAGGTTCTGCCTGCGCATGCCTGGGACCAACACCTCATCTCCCCAGGCCCCAGCTTCCTCACCCCCAGGAGGGGCTTCCCTGCGAGGATGTGAGCTCTAGGTGAGGGATGCAGCCCAAACAGGCTCTCCTGGAGCCGGTCCTAGTGTGAGCAAGGGAGAGGCTGACTCCAGCCAGGCCGGGAGGCCTCTGTGAGCCAGGAGCGGAAGGAGGGCTCACCAGGCAGGGCCACAGTGGGCTGACTGATGTGGCCCCCCAACTGTGGGGAGCCCCAGGGTGGCCCTGGCTATGGAAGTGCAGATGTCGTGGGCCCAGGTCCTTTAGAGCCGTGCCCCCCCCTGCCCCAGGAGTGGTCAGCTGCCCTGCAGGTGTGCTCTGCCCCTAGCCCCTGACCTGTAAGGAAGAGACTGGCAGGGCCTGCAGTGACCAGGGCTGGGGTCAGCACCTTGTGGCCATGCCCAGCCCCATGCAGGTGACGGCAGACCCAGGACGTTGCTGTTCCAGGCACCCCGATGTTTACTGAGGATCACTGTGTGCAGAGCCTGGTGCTGGCAGGGTAGGGGTGCTGCTGGGCTACAGGACCAGGCAGGGGTGGCCCCCACCATGGGATGGGCCTCTGGGCCTTGGTGGGTGCTTGATTCCTGCCCAGGGACCCCCACTGCAGCCTGGCTTGTCTGCCTCCCTGTGTGATCTTGGGTGAGGGCTCTGGGGCCTCGGAGGCCTGTCTGTGACGCGAGCACCTGGGACCTCGAGGGAACCGTGGGCTGACAGAGGCTCTGGTGCCAGCTCCCTGCTGTCCTCTCCTGGCCAGCAGGCCAGCGGGTGCTAGGGCCCTGGCAGACCTCTCCTGCTGTGCAGGGGCGGTGGGCGGCTGCACCTGGGCTGAAGGAAAGGGAAGCTGCCCACCCCAGTGCCCTATTTGCTTGTTGCTGGGCAGACAGGGCTGGGGCTGTTGGCTGGACAAGAGCTGCAGCCTCACGGTGGAGCCCTGGCCTGCCCCTCAAGGCCCACCCCCATACTGTGCCCTGGACAGAGGCAGAGGTGCCAGCCTCCAGAGAGCATGTCAGCCCCCAAAGTGCCAGCATGGGCCCTGGTGAGCACCTCCCTGGCCTGGTGGAAGGTGGAGAGGCCACCTCCAGTGTGGTCATCAGCCAGCTTCTGGGAGGGCAGAGAGTGCATCCTCTTGCTCGCTGCCTGGCAACTGTCTCTTGGGAGACTGCCTGCTGGGCACTGGGGCTACTGATCCTGGTCCCAGTGCCCTCCGTAGCAGAGCCTTTCTTCCCAAGGGGGGCCAGGCAGGGGATGTTCTGCCTCTGTGGCTCCTGGCCCCAGCCCCAGGGAGAGCTACGTTGCTGAGGCGTTGAGATGCAGGAAGCGAGGGGGTTCTCTGCAGCAGCTCCAGCGAGGGCAGCTATGGGGTGCCTAATGGCCACCCCACGACACTGATGGCTACTGTGTTGACATCCACTCCAATGTCCACACCTGTGGGCACCTCCCCCAGTTAGGCCCTTCAGCCTCTTACAGTACTTGGCCCCCTTAGATGAGGCACAGCCCAGTGTCTACCCCACCCTGGCACAGGAAACATGCAGAGCTTCCGGAGGGATTGTGCTGTGGGCAAGGCCACATGGCCAGCAAGTGTGGGCATGTTGGAACCCAGGAGTACAGGGTCCTGGGGCCTGGGAAGCCCGCTTCCTTTTTTTTTTTTTTTTTTTGAGACTAGCTCTGTCACCCTGGCTAGAGTGCACAAATGGCATCATCACAGCTCACAGCAACCTCAGGCTCCTGGGCTCAAGTGATCCTCCTGCCTCAGCCTCCCCAGTAGCTGGGACTACAGGTGCACACCACCATACCCAGCTAAATTTTTGTATTTTTAATAGAGACAAGAGTCCCACTCTTGCTCAGGCGGGGCTCAAGCAACTGTCCCACCTCGGCCTCCCAGAGTGCTGGGATGATAGGTGTGAGCCACTGCGCCCAGCCTGAAGCCGGGTTTCTTCATCATGCAGCGGGGGCGAGAGCAGTGGCTAGGGCACAGGGAGGAGGGCGGTCTCCAGGGAGGAGGGGCTGGTTCTGGGCTGCAGCCAGTACCCTCCCTTCCCCCCAGCGGGTGCTCAGGAAATGTTACTGCTGCATCAAGTAAACCACTTCCTGTGGGGGACGCTGGCCTTGGATAGGAGGGCTCTGGTGTCCGAGTTCTGTGTTGTCTTTTCTGTCCAGAGTCCTGGGGGTGTAGCACCAGAAGGCCATCTTAGGAGCCAGGCCCCAGCCTGGCTGAAGAGCTCTATGTGGCAGGGAGCACCCATCTGTAGCCTGTGTGGGCGGTGTCCCCAGGACAGCAACCACGGCTGTGTAAAGCTGGGCCACCATCTCGTCAGTGTGGTGGGACTACACCAAGGAGTGGCCACTCCCCACTTTGCACTGGGGGGTCCCTCCCTCACAGCCCCCAGACCAGCCTTGTGATGGGACCACTGCACACTGCTCACTCCGCCGATGCTCATGGTAGCAAGGGGAGCTCAGCCCCTAACACTCAGCACTAGCACTGGGGAGCAGGCTCCCTCCCAGAGCTGAGGTAGGAGCTCTCTGGGCCTGGGAGGACAGGGCTCTGGTGATGAGGATGGGAGGTGATGCTCACAGCCCGGCCCTGGCAGCGTGACCAGGATGTCACCTCTCCAGGGAAGGCAGCACCAGCCCTTTCTATAGAAGAGAAAACAGGTGCAAGAGATCAAGGGACCTCCTCAGCCACATGACCAGTCAGCAAGGGTGCTGGCCCTGCCAGCCTGCTGGGTCACTCTGTCACCCTTATCCCCTGGCTGCCTGCCACCCACTGCCTGTTCTTAGGGCCTGGTCAGGCACCCTTGTTCAAACATATCCTGAGCTCCTGCCCTAGACTCGGGGGCCTGGGAGATGACCCCCATGGCCTTGACAGAGGCATGGAGGCCTTGAGCAGGCCCACCTGGCCCCTCCTAGTGGGGCTTGGGGTTCTATCTTGATGTCCCACAGAGTTGAGGATGACGAGTCTGGGGTCCCAGGCTTGGCGTTCAAGTCTGAGTGAGTACAGGAGCTTCAGGTCGGTGTTGGAGCCTCCATCCCTCACCAGTAGGTTGAGAACAGGGCCCACCTCCTAGAGCTGTGGGCAAAATTAAATAGGAGTGTGCGCCAGGTCCCTAGTTCGGGAACAGGGCTCCGAGTTCGCTGTTACTGTTTTCTGGGACTGAAGCACGCTCAAGCAGGCTTCTCACCCGCCTGCAGGCGCTGCTGCTGCTGGGAGCCACCGCCCTGGCCTGCCTCGCCCTGGACCTCCTCTTCCTGCTCTTCTACTCCTTCTGGCTGTGCTGCCGGCGGCGCAAGAGCGAGGAGCACCTGGACGCGGACTGCTGCTGCACCGCCTGGTGCGTCATCATCGCCACGCTGGTGTGCAGGTGAGCGCGGTGGGGCGGGGCTGGACAGAGGGAGGGCGGGGCCTAGGGGGCAAGCGGGCCCTGTCTCACCTGGCCCTGCCCCCGCAGCGCGGGCATCGCTGTGGGCTTCTACGGCAACGGGGAGACCAGCGATGGCGTCCATCGAGCCACCTACTCGCTCCGCCACGCCAACCGCACGGTGGCCGGCGTCCAGGACCACGTGAGTGGCCAGGAGTTGGGTTCTGGGGAGCACTCCTCCTGCTCCCGATCCCTGCGTCTGTGCAGGCGGGCGGGGCCGCTGCGGGTGCGGGCTGTGCAGGAGGAGCCCGCGCCCATGGGGACTGGGGCGCCCGTCCCTGGCCTCACGCCCGCCGGCCCTGGCGCAGGTATGGGACACCGCAGCAGCCCTGAACCGCACGGCGGAGCCCAGCCTGCAGAGCCTGGAGCGGCAGCTGGCGGGGCAGCCAGAGCCCCTGCGGGCCGTGCAGCGGCTGCAGGGCCTGCTGGAGACGCTGCTGGGCTACACAGCCGCCATCCCCTTTTGGAGGAACCCTGTGGTGTCGCTGGAGGTGCTGGCTGAGCAGGTGGATCTCTATGACTGGTACAGGTGCGACTGCACAGCTTTCCTGCCCTCCCCAAGCTGACTGTACCTGGGTTAAGCCTCACCTTCCCTGAGCTAGTTTTGCTCTCAACACCTAATACTTGAGGTTTTGCAGGTGGGGGCAGCCAGGGCCACTGGAGCTCACAGGCAGTGACAGGAGTCCCCCAAGTGGATTTTGTCAAGAACTGACATTGTCCCCATGTGCCAGAGCTGCCTGTGGGGCCCCTCCTGGGTGCCGGGCTGTTTGCCCCTGCTCTGCCTGGCCTATGCCGATGCCTCCTTCCCCCTTTCCCCCGCCTGCCCCTCTCCCCGGCCTGTGTCTGCTGGTCCCTGGCCCACACCGACAATTGCCCACAGGTGGCTGGGCTACTTGGGCCTGCTGCTGCTCGATGTCATCATCTGCCTCCTGGTGCTGGTTGGCCTCATCCGCAGCTCCAAGGGCATCCTGGTCGGGTGAGTCCAGGTGGGGAGTCAGCCACCTGTGGGCCCACAGCAGAAGGACTGGGTGAGGCACTCGTAGCACCATCCCCCAAGTCTGTGGGTCCCAGCCCCAGGGTCTGCAGTGGGACCTGAGCGAGACCCTTGCTGGCTCGTCTGCTCTGAGACGCTCCTCTGGCCCCATGGCCTGTGCCCCTGTGGCCAGCGTCATGGGCACACTTGCGCCCACGCCGGTCTTGGTTTCCTGCTGTGCCCCTCTCCCAGCAGGAGTCTACACCTGGGGTACTTGTAGTCCAGAGACCTGAAGCAGCCTGCCCAGGTCCCCAAGCTCTTGAGGACACCAGATCAGGCTGGGTCCTCCTTTCTCTGCCTCACCCTGTCCTTGGCTCTTGAGGCAGCCTGGGTTCCAGCCCTGGCTCTGCCACTTACTAGGCTGGTGACCTTGGGCAGGTGGTTAATGAGTGGTGAGCCTTGATCTCCCTGTCTGGAAGACAGGTGACTGCTTGTGCAAAGGGTCACTGTCCCTCACTGCACAATTGCACAGCCATGTCCTGGCTCCTTCCTTGGCCAGGCCTGAGAGAGATCAGAGGACAACAGTCCGGCCCCCACCTGCATGGCACTCACAGGCTAGAAGAAGATGAATGAGTGAACCGTGCCATGTGCTGAAGGCGAGAGCGTCTTGGAGCAAAACAGAGCCGGGGTGGGAGGGAGTGGGAGGGAGTGCAGACCGGCAAGGTCTGCAGTGCGCTTGCTCCTCCCAGGGAGACACAGGAGAAGGAGCGTTGAGCAGAGGCCTGAGGGACCAGGGAGCACTTGGACACCCGAGGAAGGGTGTTTGATGCTGGTGTGCACAGAGCTGTGGGAGGCCTGTGTGTCTGGACCATAGGGGCCAGGGGAGGTAGGTGAGCCCAAGCCAAGGTTAGCAGGCCCCTCAGGCCACTATGTGGACAGCAGGCTTCGGGGCCCAGAGTGAAAGTGGCCACTGTTATCTGCTGAGGAGAAGTGCCTGGGGAACAGAATGCCACCAGGCCTTCCCCTCCCTCCCTGCCCCCAGCTCCGGGCTCTCTGGGCTCCAGCCCAGCCCACCCCAGCCAGGGAGGGGCATGTGTCTGGGCCCTGGGCTTTGGGCAGCTCTGGCTGAGGCCAGGCCATGGGAGGAACCGCAGCCCTCGTGTGGGCTGGACCCCCAGATGTGCCCTGGCACCTGCCTTCTGGCCTGCAGCCCGCAGGCCACACATCCCCAACCCTCAGCCTGGGGGCTGCTGACTGGCTGTCTTTGCCCCAAGGGTCTGCCTGCTGGGTGTCCTGGCCCTGGTCATCAGCTGGGGCGCACTGGGCTTGGAGCTGGCCGTGTCTGTGGTGAGTGGAGGAGGGGAGCCCAGCGAGCCCCATCTGCTGGGCCTGGACACAGGGCAGCCATGTTCTTTTCCCTTCCCCATCTCCCCCAGGTCACTGGGTCCTGAGAACAGTGGGAACCTACCATGGGCACAAGCACGTCCCTGTCCCCAGGTCCACACTCCACCCTCCTGAGCTGAAAGTAGACCCTGGGGGCCAGGTTCTACCTCCAAGGACCCAGGGTGGGGGCAGCTTTCTTTGAGGCCCAGCTGGGTAACCCCTCTTCCTGCCTGCACTCACCCCAGGGCTCCAGCGACTTCTGTGTGGACCCCAACACCTACGTGACCAAGATGGTAGAGGAACACTCAGTGCTGAGTGGGGGTGAGTCTGGCGGGGTCCGATGGAAGCGGGAGGGCAAGGTGGCTGAGGCAGAGGTGCCCCTGCCCTCACAGGCCGCACTCTCAGGGAGACAGGTTGCAGGAGGCTCCAGGGGAACGGAGCACAGGGGCCACGAGAAGCCAATGACAGGGGCAGGGGACAAAATAGCCTGGTCAGGGAAGGCCTGCCAAACAGGTGGCATCAAAGTTGAGCCAGAGAAGGCTGCATCTTGTGCAAAGGCATCTTGTGCTGAGGCAGAAACATGTGATGAGTTTGTGAGGCAGGAAGTGGACCAGTGGGGCAAGGAGCCAGGGGAGGCCACAGGGCTGGGTCACGGTGGTGACTTTGGGCTTTATTTGGGTGGGCTATTGGAGGGAGGGAAGCAGAGGAGAGATGGGACCCACAATCAGAGGTCCCTTTGAAAGCTTCTCCGGGCTGCTGAGGTCACCAGGGCGGCGAGGGGGACTCCTCAGGCAGGAGAGAGTGGAGACAGCAGGGGCTGAACACACGGGCAGCAGGTGCACAGGGCTGTGCTTTGACTTCCCGCTGAGTGGGCTGCCGGGGCTGCGGGGGAGCTGAGGCCCTGGTCTGGGCGGCTCCTTGTAGCAGGGCCATGAGTCGTGTTGGGGGCTGGGGCAACAGGCTGGAGGCAGGTCACAGGTTTTGGCCAGGTTTGCAACTCAGGGTGGACATCAGAGAGGCGGGACATGGGACTCTGGCCGGGGTGTGGTCAGGCTAGACACTGCTAAGCTTGTGGGGCCCCGTCATGGGAGTATTGCGTGTTCCCTAACAGAAAACAGAGGGGCTGTCCCTGCGGGGCACCGAATGGCCTGGAAAAGCCTATCCTTGTCACCCTTTGTCCACCAAAACCACGGGATTAGCTTGTGGGCTGGTTTTATAGCTCGTTCTGTGGAAGGAAGCAGTTCCATGGAAGCCTGAGGAGCCCCTCCCCTTACCCTGGGGAGGAGTGGGCCCACGCCGCTGGGGCTGGCAGGGCTGGTGACCACTGGCCCCGCCCCGCCCCCGGCTCTGGTGCCAGTAGCCTGGGCTCACCGGGTTCCCACTGCTCAGACTCGTGGGACCTTGGCAAGCACGATAGCCCCCACCGTGCTCGAGTGAGCACACGCACATGCACATACACACACACGCACATACACACACACAGGTGCTCGAGTGCACACGTGTGAGTGTGGGCTCCATCCAGCCTGCAGGCCAGAGAGCCCCTCACGGAAGGCCGCGAGGCCAGCTGTACTGACTCCATTTTACAGGTGGCTAAAGTGAAGACTGGTGCTTTATGTTTCTGAGAACTTTTATTAGTTTTTCAACTTTTAAATCCTTCTTTTTTTCTTTAACATCCTTTTATAATTGGAAGACCTAAACTTGTAGAGAGGTCTGAAGGTGGAACCCAGGCAAGGGGCAGGTGTGTGGGGACCCCGGGCTTGTTGAGGCTGGATGGGAGCCCGGAGCCCAGCGCTGGGTGCAGGGGCAGGTGCAGGCGCAGGTGCACGCAGACACACATGTGACATGCATGCATGCAGATACACACGCACACGTACGCAGTCACATGCTCACCATCAGCCCTCTGGGCTCGGCTGCTGCGCCTTCTCTCTGCAGATATCCTGCAGTACTACCTGGCCTGCTCACCCCGTGCTGCCAACCCCTTCCAGCAGGTGAGAGTGCGGCTGGCCCTAGGGGGCCAGGGGCGGGGGCTGGGGTGTGCAGGGACAGTCTGAAGCACCCCGTTTCTGGGTGGGAGAGGCCCTGCAGCCTGCAGGACTCTGGGTGCTGTGGGAGGTAGCTGGATGGGGGCTGTGCTGGGGTTACTACCCTGTGCCCTAGGCACAGCATTTTGGGGTTACCTGGTTAACATATCCCCATCCCTGGGACTCCTGGGGCTGCCCGTGGTGTGCGTGAAAGGGGCCCGGGGACACCTGCAGAGCAGCGGTCTGTTCAGGTGGCCTACCGGGGAGTCTGTGGGTCTGCAGCACCAGCACGAGCTGGCCAAGCCCTGGCCCCACTGCCTGTCATTTCTCTGTGCCTGCTGGGCCCCCTAGGTCCTGGGGACTGTTCGTCTGCCCTGAGGATGCTGGGCTTTGCTCCCTGAAGTGATGCCTGCTTCGAGTTACCGCCGCAGGGCAGCCAGGGAGGGGTGCCGTGTTGGCCCTCTGAGCGGGCTGCCCTGTTGGGGGCCTGAGGAGGGAGGGAGGGAGGGAGGGAGGGAGAGGCAGGCTGGCCCCCGCCCCACTGCCATCAGCCGCCTCTCCCTGGAGCAGAAGCTGTCGGGCAGCCACAAGGCACTGGTGGAGATGCAGGACATCGTGGTCGAGCTCCTGAGGAGTGTCGCCCAGGAGCACCCTGCTACCAAGGTGAGGACCTGCAAGGGGGAGAGGAGGTGCAGGCAGGGACCTTCTTTTCTCCACATGAAAGGAATTTGGGGTACAAACACAGCTCAGGGCAAATTTGGGAAAGGCAGTGGGCTGGCCAGACGGGGACCTGGTATTAGGGCTGGGGGTGGTTCCTGTTTTCTCCCCACCCTTTTTACCTTCCTTCCCTCCCTCCTCATTCCTTCTCCCTGGGGTTTTGGGTAGGTTTTTAAAAATAATTTTGTTGGCCGGGCATGGTGGCTCGTGCCTGTAATCCCAGCACTTTGGGAGGCCAAGATGGGAGGATCACTTGAGCCCAGGAGTTTAGACCAGCCTGGGCAACATAGCAAGACCCCATCTCTACAAAAATTTTTTAAAAAATTAGCCAGGTGTGATGTACGCCTGTAGTCCCAAGCTACTTGGGAGGCTGAGGCAGGAGGCAAGCACAGTTGCACTACAGGATCAGGCTCACTCTGCACAGAGAGTTTTGTATGCTGTTGTCACTTAACACATCCTGAGAATTTTCCCTTGTCTTTAACTGTCCTTTAAAATACGATTTTTGAAGCCAGAACAAGTCCCGCGTCAGCAGACGTGCGGGTGGTTTGCTGTTTCTCTTACAATAAAGAGAAGTCTGTCTTCATGTGGTGGTGGCCACACTGGACAGGCACCTGTGGGTCCTCATGTCCTCGGCAGGCCCCGTGAGTCCAGGGCACACTCTGGGGTCGCCATTTCTGAACACCTAGGATCCTCAGGGCTTGCCCCAAGACCCCAGGGTTGAGGGTGGTGGTCTCAAAGGCAGGTTGTGGGATGGAGGGAGACCTGGGGGGCTCTCAAGAGGGTGCGGCTGGTGTGGGGTCCCCTTCCAAATGAGGTGCTGACCTTGCCTGGTGCCTGTGCTCCAGGACCCCCTGCTCCGTGTCCAGGAGGTGCTGAATGGCACGGAGGTGAACCTGCAGCACCTCACCGCCCTGGTGGACTGCCGCAGCCTGCATCTGGTGAGAGCCCGCTGCTTGGCAGAGGCATTGTGGCCCGGGGGCAGGGAGCAGGCAGGCAGGCACTCGGGAGGATGGAGACTCATGGACAGACAGTGGGTCCTCAGCTTGGCCTCAGCGGTGGGTGGTCCAGGACACCATGGCTGGGCCAAGGGCCTCACACTGCCTGTCCCCGCCTCTCCTGTCTCTGGATCTTGCCATCTCGTCCCCACCTGGGCTCAGGACTACGTGCAGGCGCTGACCGGCTTCTGCTACGACAGCGTCGAGGGCCTCATCTACCTGGCCCTCTTCTCCTTCGTCACTGCCCTCATGTTCAGCTCCATCGTCTGCAGCGTTCCACACACCTGGCAGCAGAAGAGGTGAGGGGCTCAGAGCGGTGCTGGAGCCAGGCCGCACAGCATGCAGGACTTTCAGGGGCGTGCCCTTCTGAGCACCCATGGCCCAGTCCCCAGAGGTGAGGGACAAATGCCTCCTCTCCTCCTAGCACTCTCTAGGCCTGTGTAGCATCTCTGAGGCCACCAGCTCCCAGGTGAGCATCCCCATTTCACAGAAGGAAACTGAGCCTAGAGGAGCTCCTGGCCTGGGTCACACGAGTCCAGGGCAGGCCGGGAGGACTCTGCCCCTCCTGGGCAGGCATCCCCCACCCTGGGGTGCAGAGCTGTGGGTGGGAAGGCAGCTAGCTGTGCAGACTCAGCTTCCGCAGGAGGCAATCCAGGTGGTCGTGGCCTCCAGCTAGGTGACCAGGATAAGAGCCAGCTCCCCAGGAGCTGCTGTGTGCTTATCTTTGAAGTGGGGGTCCTGGTGGCTCCTGCCTCAGTCTCCCCACTCAGTACTGGGTTGAGTGGTGTCTGGGGGTGCCAGGCTCCTTCCATTGCTGAGGTGCCCATGGCTCATCTTTCAGACTCTCCATCCTCCCTCCAGTTGGGGCTGTGGCAGCTTCTTTGTGGCCCAGCTTGCATGGCAAGTAGCTCAGCTCAGATTTCTTTCTTTGTCCAGATTTCTATTCTGTTATCTCCATTGTGGTGGTTGTGGTGATGATAGTGATTGTGGTGGTGACAAAGAGATGGTCGTGGTGATGGTGGTGATGGTGGGGGTGATGATGATGGTCATGGTGATGGATGATCGTGTGTGTTGGTGGTGGTGATGGTGATAGTGGTGATCATGATGGTCATGGTGATGATGGTGATGATGGTGATGGTGATGATGGTGATGGTGGTGATGATGGTGGTGATGGTGATGATGATGGTGATGGTGATGATGGTGATGGTGGTGATGATGGTGGTGATGGTGATGATGATGGTGATGGCAGTGATGGTGATGGTGGTAATAATGATAGTGGTGGTGATGATGGTGATGGTGGTGGTGGTGGTGATGGTAGTGATAGTGATGATGAAGGTGATGATGATGATGGTGGTGGTGGTGATGGTTGCAGTGGTGATAAAGATGGCAGATAGGAGTAGCTACAAGCACAGCCCTGAAACCACATGGCCAGTTCACATCCTGGCTCTATCCCTGCTTTATTGTGTGACTGTGGGCAAGTCTCTTAACCACCCTGGGCCTCAATTTCCGTAACTGTGAAAAGGGAATTATAAGAGGACACCTTGAGGGGCGGGTGAGCTCTAGGTAAACCACTATGTGTGAGGGCCCTGCTGTAAGCTTGACTGGTGGTCACCACTCAGCCACCAGCAACCACTGTCCTCACCACCAAGAACTCAGCCCAGCATCCCATCTGGGCCCAGGCGTGGCATGGAGGGCTCCAGAGTGGCAGAGGCCTGGCCCACAGTCCCTCGCCCCGCCCTGCAGCAGCCTGCAAGGAGTACGACAGGAAGCCAGAGGGCAGCAGGGCAGGGAGAGCTGGCTCAGGCCATTCCAGGGTGCACATGGTCCCCGATGATCCCTGCAGAGCCAAAGGAGGACATGACAGCCTCCAGGCACTGGCCTTCTGTGCTCCCCCAGGAGGGGCCCTGCGCCCTTCTTTTAATAAGCAGAGAGCATCACCATGTGCAGGCCACAATACAGGGCCTGGCACTCAGGTGACCCTTGGGTCTGTCAGCACCCCAGGGAACAAGGCTGGACACAGAGCCATGGGACCTGCCCACAGTCCTGCAGTGCGTACATGGCTGAGCCAGGGCTGGGACCATGGGTATCTGCATCAGAGCTGACCGCCGTGGGTCTTGTGGCGGCTCCTTCTTGTCAGGGCCTGAGCCTGGGCTGGGTGTCCCTCCCTGCAGAGGCCCTGATGAGGATGGGGAGGAGGAGGCCGCCCCAGGGCCGCGGCAGACCCACGACAGCCTCTACCGTGTCCACATGCCCAGCCTGTACAGCTGCGGGAGCAGCTACGGCAGTGAGACCAGCATCCCAGCTGCAGCCCACACTGTCAGCAATGCTCCGGTCACCGAGTACATGTGAGTCCTGGAGAGCAGGCCAGGGTCAGCCTAGGTGGGGCCAGGCATAGCCAAGTCCCTGGGCAGGCGCCCATACTTATGACATGGGGTCAGCCTGGTCTGGCCTGCCTCCTGCTCTCGGGAACCTGGGCAGGGGCCATGGGGAGGCATGCAGTCAGAGGGAGGTTCCGCATCTAGGGCACAAGGATGCTGTGGCCAAGGACCCCGGGCCCTGGCTACATGGTGGGCTCTGGCTAGGGCAGGCGGGCCCCCATGGGACCTCCAGAGCCCTTGGTTACTGTGCCAGCTGCCCAGGCTCCCAGTGAGAACAATGTGCCCACACCTGTGGAAGGCAGGATCGAAGGCGGTGCTGGGCAGAGCTGGCTGGGCACGGGCTCTGCCTGGCTCTAAGATGGGGCCTCTCAACCCGGATCTGGGACCACTGTGGCCACCGGTCACTCACAGTCACTCTCTTCCCTCCTGCCTCAGGAGCCAGAATGCCAATTTCCAGAATCCCCGCTGTGAGAACACCCCACTCATTGGGCGTGAATCCCCACCACCCTCAGTAAGTGTTGGGGCAGGAGGGTGGGTAGGGGTACCCTCAGCCTCAGAGAGGGTCTGCTGTGCCGCTGCCTCGGTGGTCTGGTACGGCTCTCACAGGCAGTGTGGCCTCTGGGGGCAGCTATGAGCATCCAGCGCTGGGGACCAAGAGGGTTCTCTCTAGCCAGAGCCTCTTGCAGAGCGCCTGCTCTCAGTGGACCGGGCCAGGCGGGCCCGCCTGCTCCTCCCAGCTGACCTTCAGGCACACTGGGGCCAGAGTGGGCCAGCTGCCTGGCAGGTCAGCTCTTGGGCCTTGTCTTGGGGAAGGGGAGTGGGTGGGCAGGGTGTGACCCTGGAGGAGCTCTCCTGGCTCACCTGGGCCCTGGCATCTGTCTCTTCCCACTCCACTGGCCTCTGGACTGTGGGGGCCTCCCCTTCCACACCCCTGCTCCCAGCGACCCGGGCCTGGGACCCTTCCTCTTTCTGCCTTGACTCTTTTCCCGAGTGTCCACCTGGCCTCGGCCCGTGGCTGCTCCAGAGTCCAGGGCATCCAAAGAGTACTGGGACCTGGGGTTCCCTGTGACCGTGGGATAGAGATGAAGACAGTCGAGGGCAGGGTGGTTTTGGTGCCAAAGAGAAGCAGTTTGTGGAGAGGCTGGGGGGAGGGGACTGGGCTGGAAGGACAGAGGCCAAAGGCTGTTTTGCTTCCGAAATACCTGCCTCGTGGCCGCCACCATTGTGCCTGCAGCACAGAGCTGGCCCTGGGGTGCCCAGGAGCAGGGCCCAGAGGCCCAGAGGCCCAGAGGCCATCCCAAGCCATAGGCCCCCATGTCACTCAGCCACCCTCGTCCTCCTCACACGTCCCCACGGCCTGCTCCCACCGGGTCCCGCGCCCCGGTGTTGAGGCTGCCCTCTCTCTCTCTCTCCTGCACCCCACCCCCCGGGCCCTCCTAGCGCTATCTGGCTGCCCTGGACTCTGGCAGCCACGCGGGCTGGCAGTTTAAGCCCATGGACAGCGCGCGAACGCTGTGGTAGCTGTGCCCTCAGAGTGACAGGTACTGACCCACCGGGTCCCCCACCCCGCACGGCCGCCCGCCTGCGCCTCCATGCCTCTGCCCTGTGCTCACTGCCACCCCTCTCCGGCGCTGGCCTTGGGCTCCATCAGTCCTGCTCCCGCCTGCTGGGCCAGCTCTGGGCGGCACAGCCCAGCCACACACAGACCTGAATGCGGGCCTCACAGCAGGGGCACGAGCCCCCTTCAGACTCTGCCACCAGCTGCAAGTGGTCCTAGGCCCTCTTGTCACCTCCCAGTGAGGAAACCACCCACCCAGGCCCTTGTGTCTCCTGGGCTTGGGTTAGAGAGCAGGGCTCGGCCCCTGGGTGTGTGGCCTTGTGTTGGCCCTTCCCCACCCCGTGCCCCTGCCCCGCTGCATGTCCCTGGAATGACATGGCTCCTGGGGCCACTGCTCCTCCTTCCTGCCGCTCCTCACAGCCGCCCGGCAGGCTGCTCACACCTTGTGTCCGAGGAGGGCTCTCAGGGGCCCAGGGAGCATCGTCCCTTGGGATCTGAGGACTCTGGGGAAGGGCCTGGGGCCGCTGGGGTTCTGGAGCCCATTTGGAGTGCATGGGCAATCCTGCCCAGCCCCTTACCCTGGTGACCCTTGGCACATGCCTTGGCCTTTGCCCCCCATGGGCATGTGGGCCTGAGCACACACCTCGGCCACACACCCACATGTACACCTGTGCACTCACTTGCACACACACGTGCACTGCTCGAGGTTGTGAGGGTGGTCAGGTGTGCGGCCATCTACAGAGCCAGGTGCATGGTGCTGCCCCTCCAGCTGCCTCTGTCCGAGTCCAGGCCCCTGGGAGTGAGGGACAGGGCACACACCACCTGCTCATCCCCACACCACGCTCCAGCCAGAGGGCCTTTGTGGCTTCTGGGGGTGACGGGGCAGAGCAGCTGTGAGGGAAGGCTGGGGTGCCCCCAGGCTGGGGCCTCCTACTCCTGTGGGCTTAGCCCCTGGGGCCTTTGGCCTGGCTTCAGGAGGACCGTGCCTGGCACAGGGGTGGCCTGTGTGCAGCCTTCCTGTCCTGGGCACGGTGCACAGTTAGGGTCTTTGAGCACTGGACATGGGAGTGGCAGAGCTCTGCCTGGCCTGAGGCCCAAATGCCAGCCATGTGGGCGTTGGGGGCCAAATGTGCTCCTCTACTGGGGGAGGAGACTGGTCTCGGGGCAGGCTTCTGTGCCCTGGGGGCTGCCACCTCCCTCCGCCCTAGCCGGCCCTCCCAGAACCCCTCCCCGTGGGGATTGTCAGCCAGGCCTTGTGCTGTCACATTCTACCCCCAGGGTTGGCTCTGGCTTCCAGAGCCAGGACCAGCTGAGGAGGCCCCAGCATGCCTGGTGTGCCCAGCGCCCTCTGACCAGCACCCCCTGTCTCCCTGCAGTACACCTCCAGCATGAGAGCCAAATACCTCGCCACGAGCCAGCCTCGCCCCGACTCCAGCGGCAGTGGCCACTAGACCGCGCTCCAGGCAGCCACCCGCCCCACGTGCCAATTGCCCCCTCCCCGTGCCAGCACTGCCGCTTCCACCCAGGGCCGACCCCGGACCTCTGCACACCACGCCAGGCCCGCCTCGGACAGACGCATCTGCAGGCCGCTTGCCCCTCCTCTCCCCTGCCCACAGGGGCACAGTTGAGAATCGGGGGCTCTGGACCCGTGCCCCCAACTTGAGTCACACATGTGAACACTGCTGCCAGCACCCCTGCCCTGCACGGCCACCCTCTGCCCCTGGATTCACCAAGCCCACTCCTCTGGGCAGGTGCTTGTGCCGTGACACGTTCCCTCCCTCTGCAGCTGATACCACTCTTACCCCTCCACCCCTACCTGCACCCTGGCCTGTGCTGTCCCTGCTGGGCCCGTTCCCTCCTGCAGCTCTGACGCCACCTGCCCGGGTGCTTCTGTGGACCCCTTCTTAGTTCACAGGCATGGCAGGAGCCCTCTGTGCTGGGCATCCCCTGGCCACCGAGGGACAGGGCACACACCACCTGCTCGTCCCTGCACCGCAGACTTTCTCATGGCCCCCACGCACCCATCTCTCTGCAGTGTCTGTGGCACCCTCCTCGCCCGTGTGGCCCAGCTGACCACAGCTCGCCTCTCCTGCCAGCTGCCGGAGCCTCTCGGGGCCCTCTCTGCTTCCTGCCACCTCTCTCTCCCTCAGCGCCTGCCCTGTGGAGGCACCAGCCCTCCCGTCTCCCAGGGCTGGCCTCCTTCTTGGTGCCAAACTCCCTCCCTCAACCCCAGAGACTGGGCAGCTTCATCTGGTTCATTTTTTGCACTAACTACATTTGTCATCTCCAGGGCAGGCCAGGGCTGCGGGCTGAGGGGACCACCGGCCCCTTCCCTCCCTTCTTGGTTCTGTTTCCATCCACGACAGGTGCAGTCCCCGGAGCCCTGGCTGGGAATGTGCCCTCAGCCCCTGCCACCCTCCCAGGACTAACCACTAACCTCACTCCCAGCTCCACGGGCGCCCCTGGCTGAAAGCCAGCGAGTGTGACCCCCAAGTTCAGGCTGGAGCCGAGGCCCAGCACAGCTGGCCAGGAGCCGGGGCTGGGGTAGCTGTTTCTTCGTGAGGTGCTGCTGGGGAGGGGCCCTAGACCAACAGGTGGCCCAGAGGGCCTGGAGACCGCTCCCTGGGCAGCTGCTATCCCAGGAGGGCTGCATCCTTGGCAATGAATATCCCACGGGCTGTGGACTGGGGTCATTACGGCCTCGATCTCCCTCCTGTGAAGCGGGAACATGGCTTCCCTAAGGTGCTTTTGGCTCTAGTGTACGATGTTTGCTTCCTGCTGTGGAGGGTAGAACCACCCCCAAATCAGGACTGGGAAGTTCTGCCCCTTCCAGCCCCATCCCTGACCCAGACAGCGGGGCCAAATACGTGTGCCAAGGCCAGGGGCAGCCAGAGGGCCGCTGGACAGCCATGCGCAGGGGTCGAGGCCGGGCCCGCAGGGAAGGGGGCAGGAAGCCCCAGCAGTTTACAGACACGTGGTTCTCCCTCCTGGAACAGCAGGGCAGCTCCCTGTACCAGAAATGTCCTCAACCCTCCCCAGGCCAGCTCCCTCTGCCCCTCCTCCGTGACCCCCCCTTCCTTTGTGCTGGTGTCTGGGACCAAAAGGGGGGAGGGGGAGGGGAGCCAGTGGGCCGGGGGCCCTAAGCCTGGGCGTCTGAGCCCCCCGGGCATGACCAAACCTCGTGGAGGAGGCTGCTCCAGGCCCTGCCGGGCCGTCATTCTGAGCCACACAGGGCGCAGCCGACCCGCCCTGGGAGCTTTCCTGACTGCGGGTCAGGAGGGGGCACTGGACCCCTGCCTGGGTGCCCGCGGAGCACCTGTGACTGCTCAGAAGCACAAATGCTGCCCGCGGCCGAGAGGCTGCCGCAAGGTGAATGTACATAGCATGAGAGGCGGGCGCTGCCCGGACGTGGCTGTGACCCCGTGCTGTCTTGGGACTCCCGACTGTCGTGTGCGTGCGTGCCCCGTCTGACTTTTTACTCACCGAGGTTGAAGACAGGAAAAGGGAAAATCAAAAGGGGTTCAAACCCCACCTCAGTAGTGGCGGGGAGCGGCTCCCGTCAGCGGTTTTCTTTCTGTCCTGAGTGCCGCGTTCCCAACCCCCCATCCCAGCGACCTCTCCACACCTACTGGGGGCGTCAGGCCAGGGCCACCTGCCCATGGCCAGCCCCACGCTCACCACACCAGTGGGCCTTGCCTGCCCGGGCCCTGCATCATGGGAGTGGGGCAGGGAGGGCCTGGACCACCTGGTGGGCTCCTGGGTGCCCCCTCCCCTGTCCCCGCCCCCGCAGGTCTGGGTAGACGAAGGGCCTGGTTAGGAGCCCCCGACCCTTTCCCTGCCTCGCCCACCCACCCATCTCACTATGCAATCCAGTTCCAAGCACCATCCCCTCCTGCCCCGGGACCTGGCTCGCCCAGCCTGGGAGGTGGTTACTTGGCCCCAGATGCCAGGGCAGGCGGGGGGCAGGGCCTTCTGTGGGGGTCTCTGGTTTGGCCATAATGGTTGTGTGCCGCACCACTTCCGATTTGTTCCATATTATATATATAAAATC